CTTTTATCTCTTGATTCACAGTCATTTTTCAGCAAAAATTGAAAATTGAACCTTCTTTATAAATATATTCCAAACTGAGTTCTTAGTTATTATCATCACCAGCAGGCTAGCAGACAAAAGATATTCAGAGGATTCTTTAAAATATTACATAACTAACTACTAGAATGTAAGTTTCTTGTCCTTTTTTTTTTTCTTTTTTTTCTCTGCTGATATATAAGAGTTCCTATGATAGCAGAAATGTTTCTGAAACAGCAGGAAATCAAAAATTTATCAGTAAATTAACAAATGAATAAGTTATTTCATGTCACATCCAGAGTCAAGACTTTTCATCTCATTCAGTAAAATTAAAAAAAATGTTTTGAAACTAATTAAATAATAAATTAAATAAACTCTTGGTACAATACTCTGTGTTATGCAGGAAAAAGCTCCAGAGATACAGAAATAATTAAAACACTGTCAAACTCTTGAGCCTCTCATAGTAAAATAGACTTTCATAGTAACTGAAAATATTTATATATAAAGTTGTCAACTGAATTGTAGGGATATTTTGGTTTATTTTACTAGATAACTAATAACTGGTTAAACAATAGAACAACAATTATGACAAAAGGTCATTTTAAATATGTGAGAAAATAAAATTATTTCCAGTGTACAAATGAAGATGTTCAGTTCTAAACAACATAATCTCAATTCAAATACTAAACTGGCAGAGGATTTATTAGCCCATGGTCAAACTGTTTAGGGAAGTCCTTGATCAATGCTTCTATCTCTTATTCCTCTCAGCCCTACATTTACTTGTATTTAGGCTTTGTTCCCTTTCTAGATTTCTTCATGATTACAATATGGCCTCTTGTAGCATAGCTACTTGCTTCAAGACAGTTTTTCTGTTTGTTTGTTTCTTTTCTTTATATATATATCATTATAGAGTTTGATTGTTTCATTTTTTGTTAAAACCTCTGGCAGTATCACTCAAGTTGCAGGCTTTTGTCACATGTTTCCTTAAGGTACCTAAGGGGAAAAAAGAGCATCCAAAAAAACCTTAAAACAACTTTCTGTCACTAAATAAACAAAAAGTGCAGGGTGGGGGCAGAATTCCCTCCTCTTTCCATTTAATAGACAGAAAACAAGTGATGGTAGACAAGAGTGAGAAGAATTTTTTAGTGCCTATTGGTCCATTTCTGTGCCAGCTGTGGTGCTGGAAATGGGCAGGGATTTCTGTACCACAGTATTCACTGTGAGTGACCTTCCTGTGCAGCAGAGCTGACTCTTGAGTTTGGGCCGTGCTTGTGGTCATATGTTTGTGTAGCTCCTAGGTCCTTGTGCATTTGCAAGTCATCGAATTCAGAGCATGGTCTTCTTATGTCACTGTATTTTAATTATATTTAGACTCAGAGTTGCCTTCTAGAAGATAGATGAAGCATTATGCTCCTCAGGAGCCCATAGACAGGTACACATTCAACTCATTTTAGTCTCTGAAAATAACTCTTTTCACATCCTCTTAATACACTGATCTTTCCTTCTCCCTTCAGCATAATCCCCTCTAATATCTTATAACTTTTAACTTATTATATTTATCTCCCATACTTTGCTTTGGCTACTAAATAGTCTTAATCTTTGACAGATTCTTTCTCTCCATCCTTCTTTATGCTGCACTGTTCTTCAGGATGCTGAGCAGTGGCCTCTACCTGTTTTCTACTAATGTGGTGCACCAAGCAGAGGTCAGAGGGTAAGAGGAAAATAGGTATGCATTATACTCAGTCCCTCTAGTGCCAGGTTGTAGGCTGGCGGTAACTATGTTTATCTACATTAAGTTAATGGTTAATGTCAGACTGTTCCATACTACAGATACAGTTCTTATTTCTATTAACTGCATTCTTGGCTTACCCTTTCAGCATACAGAAGGGAAACAGCACCCCTCCCCCACTGTTTCTAAACCCAGCATGATTAATCATACATTTTTGGTTCTTTTGGTTTCCTTCATCCTCTTACATCCTTTAGTATTTTCATTCAACTCCTCCAAATTTCTCTGAGTAAACCATTCTTTTCCTGGCAGAAGCTTAGCTGATCCCCTTTGTGTATTAAGCTAAATTCTTCAAGCATTTTACAAAATTTTCTGCAATTACTTTATCTCACAAACTTTATTTATTTTTAAACCATTAGCCAAAGTATTGACACTCTCAACAAAACATCCCTCAGTAATTTTAGAGAATCATCAAGATTGGGCTCCACCTGTCTGATTACTCCAAGACATCAATGGTCCCTTTTTCCTTCCTGCCAGATTCCACTTGTGTCCCACCTGCTCCCAGCAATGCCACACACGAAGCTTCACCACTGTTATTTACTGCTTTTAAAAATAACACTTGTTTGCCAGGTGTCCATAGATACCTAAAGTTTTCAGTTCTCTAGTTGTTAAAGGAAATGCTAATTTGTAGGCACACGTAAAACTTAACTCCTTTTAACAGTTTTGCTGTGGTCATTAGGTATCAAATAAGTCCTAGTAAACATTGTTTACTGTTTTTCTCAGAGACAATTTTGCTTCAGTTACTCTCTCAATGAGTAATGGGAGTTTAGATCCAGTCTATGTGTTAAGAAAAACTGATAATATCATCACCTTCCTATTCTCCTCTCTTTATTTTACTCTTTCCCCAACCCCACATTTTTTCCCTCCCAGATTCAGAATAGAAAAGTAAATGCTTGGGTTGAGGTGTGTGGGTATGGTAGGGGAAGCAGAATAGAAGAATTTTCTGCATTGATATTGTTTGAACTTAACCCATCTTAATCTGGAATTCTCAAAATATGGTCTTCAGATCAGTAGCATCAGCATCACTTTCAAATTTGTTAGAAATGCATGTTTACAATCCCCACCCCAGATGTACTGGATTAGAAATTACAGGGGCAGGAAACAACTATGTGTGTTTTAAATAGACCTGCAGGAGATTATAAAATTTTAACTTAAAGGTATTTAAGTCAATGGACTATTGTTTTTCTTATTATTTTCAGGGATTCTCTTAATCACCTTTGAGAAAAGAAAAATAGACTTCAAGACTGATTTTTGTCATTATTTCAACTTCATGCTTTATTAATTTATATTGACTCTATCTTCATACTTTATCTGAGTCAGAAGTAGTAATTTTTTTGACCGTCAGTGGTTAGTTTGGGGACTGGGAATCTGAGGGCTAGAATTTCTGCTTTTACATTTTAATTTTTTCCCACCTTCTTATTTATTCCTGAGATTCAATTTTTTACTCAATATTCAAATTAGGCTATCTGTATGTCTGCCCTTTTGAAGCAGTTGTTTAACCTTCCCTATATTTTACCCTCTATTATTCAGGGACTTAATTTACCCAACAGATAGGACAATTTTTTCAATGAGGTAGATATGAAATGAGCAAAACGTACGTAAGATTGTTAAAGACTGGGCAATCTCAACAATGAGAATACGTAATGGCTCATATTAATTTCACAAGTAAGTTTACATCCAAGTTGCTACAACTGACATACCTATTTGACATATTTCATTCATCTTTAGGGAACCTACCTTGAATTCCTACAACATTTGCCATATCTAAAACATGCTTAATAAAGATTTCTAGATTAAAGTCCATCGTTTTAAAGTGAAATCTATTAATTAATAACAGAACAATCAACTGAGGGATGACAACAATGCCTTAGTTATCTAGTTTTCCCTTTGATGATAAGATTGAAAAGAAAAGCCTTCTAGACAACCAGAATATTGCTATTAATAACAGTCAGTTAAAGCATCATATTTAATTAAAAGCAAAATAAATATTACATATGAATGTATATTTACCCATATTAATATAGTTCTATACCTATTTTTAAAAGTTGACCACTTTTTAAAGTAGATTCATTAAAATACTAGCACTATAAGACTTAGAACAGAAGTTATAAATTAAGTCAGTATTTTTAAAAGGACAATAATTGAATTTATTTGTAGATTTATAGATTGGCTCTATATATACATTTTACTAGATGAGTTAGATCATACAATATCTTCATATAATGATGAAGTTTCATTCTCTTTTGAAAATGTCACATTTTTAAAATCTTAATATGCTTTTTAAACCTTATATTTATATTTCTTAAAACTGATGAAAGTACTATTAATTGTACATCTATGATGTGTATGCATGTTCTAAGTTTCTTTTCAATGTATTTTAAATCTTTCTGTATGACAGCTTTTAATTTTCTGCTTTTGTTAATATTCTAAAATTTAAGCCTGTTTATTGCCTTTCAGTAATGCCCAGCAGAACTTACTTTAAGCAGCCAGATAAAAGTCAAGCAAGTATGAAGAGTACAAATTACACTTCTTAATGGTGTGAGGAAGTACCTACAAAGCTATTTATGATGGACCAAAATTACAGGCCCAATAACTTCTGTCATTTATAAATGGATAATTATTTTTAGAAAATTTTTATTTGGATAAAGCACAGTTTCTTAAAAGTTTACCTAAAGACCCTAAATTAAATTCTTAGGTGAGGTCTGTAAATTGAAGGAAGAGATGGTTACTCTATACTTTCACAATATAATATTAACATTATATGTATACAATGGAAATAGTATTGTGGGTACTTACCTGTATCTCTTTTTCTAGACCTTCAAATATTATTTAGTTATAATAAAAATCATGATTATAAAGCAAAATATATGTTTTATTTATAACTCATGCCCAAATTATGTCTGAGAATTTCTTAAATATTTATTCAAAATCAATACCACAACAATTAAACAGCACATAAAACATTAATAAGTTCTACTTGAACTTAAATTTTTTTTATTTGTGAATCAATTTTGTTATTGTTGTTCAAGTACAGTTGTCTCCATTTCCTCCACTACTCTCCCCCACCCCACCTACCCCACCTCCCACCCTCAATCCTAGAATACTATATGTCATTAAATAAAATGTGAGCTTCAAACAGAACATGTCTTTAAAAGCCATATATTTTTATTTAATAAAATAGGAAATGAATCAATTGTACCTGCAATGATAATCTTTCTCAAAGTTCATATATGTGGCATTATTCTTGCAAAGAAATTGGTCACATGATGTTTGAAATCTCTTACAAAGCTTCTCTGTAAATTTTGGTGAACAGGTGCATATGGTATCCTAGGAAAGATTAAAATGTATATTTATTAAAATTTTTAAATCTCAAAAACAATGAAAAAATCCTAACATGGAAATTATTTTTACAAGCCTGTAGTTTAAGTTTTCTGTGTGACACTGTGGGATATTTTGTTTTCCAAAATGTCCCAATAGTGTCTCTCATTTCAAACACCTTTCCTAGCTATGTGAATTCAACACTCCTCTAAATGAGAGCTGAGGACTACATGCCACCCACTTGAATACAAGAAATCTCTGACGGAAAAGGAAATGATGTTCTTGTCTTTCAGAGCTATGTTTAAAAGGCCATATAATGTCAGTCTAATTATCTTGGAAGTCAGCCCCCAAGACAAACAGGAGCGTTAGATTTAGGGCTCTGACTGATAGTTCCAGCTCAGATTTTAGTTGATAGCCAGCATAACTAGCATCTATGTGAGCACAGAAGCCTTTAGGATACACATATGAATTCATATTATGAATTAAAATATGAATATTGCTAAAATAAACTAATTTGTGGGAACTATTAAATATTTATCTAATATTATTTATTTAAATGCTAAATTTAAAAGTTAGAATATGTGATTATGTAATATTCAGATAACTAAAAAATTAAAAAGTGATTCATTAAAAAATCTACAAAATTATATTGTTTATAAGAGAGAATGATGGTGTGAGGGCAAAAAGAAAACCAAATGGTGCACTTGAAAGCATGGCTTCTATTTAAAATGGGAAAAATTAGGCAAGTAGATTTCTTGATTTTCCTGACTAAAATTATAAGTGAGTAAAAACTATAATTATTTGTACTTTTGAAATAGTGTGATAATTGTAAAAAATGTTTTCATACTGCTTTCTTGTATGTAAGATTCAAACTTACATTTGAAATGTCAATGTGGTCGGCACGGATCTGACATGGTATCCATAAACACTCACTGACACCAATTTCACAGTTTTGATTGAGAAGTCCCTCTGGGCACACACAAATATAAGCAGAGCTTTTATTTTGGCAAATTTCTCTTTTCCAACCTGATGAAGAAAAACAAGATTCTACTGACTCTTCCCAGAATGGACCTTAAAATATCACACACACAAAAAGGAAAATATAAACATATATATGTAGCAAATCTTATAGAAAAAGTGTATTGAAAAAGTGTATAGATATATGGAATGTTTTAAACCAGATCTTTTGTGGTATAATTTATGTATGATAGGATTAATCCATTGCAAACTGATATGTCAGTAACTTTTGCAAACATATAGTGCTACTGAACCGCAAGCGCTGGTTAGTTTTTAGCACATTGTCATGACCCTCTTTATTGTTGCTCATTGTCTCCAACTCCAGACCCAGGCACCATCAATCATTCTCTCTCTGTAGATTTGCTTTTTCTGGGCATTTCATGTAAACAAAATGGTACAATATGTTGTCTTTTGTGATTGGCTTTTTTTGTTGAGCATAAAACTTTTGAGGATTTTTGATGTATCATGTATCAGAACTTTGTTACTTGTATTGCCAAAGAGTAACTCACAAAACACTTTGCTTATTCCTTCATCATGATGTTAATGAACATTTAGGTTGTTTCCACTTTGTACTTTTTGTTGAGATATAATTAACATTTAGCATTATATTAGTTTCAGATGTACAACATAAAATGTAAATATTAAGAAATAATCACAAGTCTAGTTAACACTCATTACTATGCATAGTAACTTTTTTCCCTTGGGATGAGAACTTTAATATTTATTTGCTCAGCAACTAAATTTTATAAGTAATGAATTCATACACAAACAGATTCTTAAGGGTAGAATTGCTGAGGTGTATGGTAAATTATGTTTAAATTTTTAAGAAATTACCAACAAAAAATTACTGAACTGTTTTTGCAATGTGGCTGTGCCATTTCATGTCTGAACCAGAAATGAAGGAGATACCCTGTTTCTCCCCATTCTTGCTAACATTTGATATTGTCTATCTTATTTTTATAGCCATTCTAGTGGGTGTAAAATAGTATCTCCTATGCTTTCAATTTTCATTTTCATAAGATTAACACTTTTGAGCACCCTCTCATATGTTCAATATCCATTTGTACAAAATCTTCAAAGAAATTTCTATTTATATATGTAGTACTATTTTTAAATTGTGTTATTAATTTTCTTATTATTGAGTAGTGAGTATTCTTTGTATTCTAAATATAATTTCTTTTTTTATGATATATGTGACTTGAAAATATTTTCCCCTTGTCTTGCTTTGATTTTTCTATTCACTTTCTTAGTAGGTGAATTTTAGGTAGAAAAATTTTCATTGAAGTCCAAATTATCAATGTTTTTATTTTATTAAATTCAATTGGTAATTTTCCTTTTACATATTCTGCTATATCATGCTTTTTGTGTAATATCAAAGAAAGTTTTGACTAACCATTGGTCATAAAGAATTTCTTTTGTTTTATTAGAAATTTTATTAGTTTAGCTCTTACATTTAGATCTTTCACATGTTTGAGTTAATTTTTATGATCAGAGAAAGTGAAGAGGCTACAGAGGGGGAAGGCCCCCTCCTCCTCCTCCTTTCCTGTGGATCCTGTGTAGGCGCGGACCCACGCAGCAGACATCATCTCCTTGGCAGGACTCTTACTAAGATCTGGAGAGCCTTCCCTCTCCTGTGCACAATGGCAACTCTTAAGGAAAAAGTGATTGCATCAGTTGCAGAAGAAGAATCACAGTCCCAAACAGTAAGATCAGTGCTGTGGGTGTCGGACAAGTTGCTGTAGCTATGCCATAAGTGTTCGAGGAAAGTCTCTGACTGATGAGCTTGCTTTTATGGATATTTTGGAAGATAAACCCAAAGGAGAAAAAATGGGTGTGCAGCATGAGAGCTTATTTCTTCTGACACCGAAAATTGTGGCAGCCAATGATTACTCTGTGACCACCAATTCTAGGATTGGGGTGGTGACCACAGGAGTTCACCACCAAAAAGGAGTCATCTCAACCTGGTGCAGAGGAATGTCAATGTCTTAAAATTACTCCTTAGATCTTCAAGCACAGCCCTGACTGCGTCATAACTGTGGTTTCTAACCCAGTGGACATTCTCACATATGGCACTTGGGAACTAAGTGGATTACCTAAACACTTTGTTACTAAAAGTGGATGTAATCTGGATTCTGCTAGATTTTGCTGCCTTATGGCTGAAAAACTTGGCATTCATCCCAGAAGCTGCCATGGGAATTTTGGGATAACATGGGGACTCAAGTGTGGCTGCATTGAGTGGAGTGAATGCGGCAGGCATTTATCTTCAGGAACTGAATCCAGAAATGGGAATGGGCAATAATAGTGAAAACTGGAAGGAAGTGCCTAAGATGGTGGTTGAAAGTGTCTATGAAATTATCAAGCTAAACGGTACACTAATTGAGCTATTGCATTAAGTGTGGCTGATCTCATTGAATCAATATTGAAAAATGTATCCAAGATTCATTCACTGTCAATGATGGTGAAGGGGCTATATGGCACAGAGAATGAAGTCCTCCTGAGCCTTCCATGTATCCTGAATGCTCGGGGATTAACCAGGGTCATCAACCAGAAACTGCAGGATGATGAGGTTGCTCAACTCAAGAAAAGCACAGATACTCTGTGGAACATCCAGAAGGACCTCAAAGACCTGTGACTTCAGGCTTCTAGGCTGTAGAAATTTAAAAACTACAGCATGAATGGCCATGTGCCTTTAGTTTCCATCCATGTCCATGGATCACAGTTTGCTTTTATCTTTCTAAATATGTGAATTTGGGCTCACAGAATCAAAGCCCATGTTTAGTTTAATGCTTACAATATGAATCCTTAAACAAATAAAATTAATTATTATAGTGTAAAAAATTACAGTGTGAGATAAGGATATAATATTTCATATACAATATGTCTGTGTGTTTGTATACACACAAATATATATACACATGCATATATATATAGATACATATATTTCTTAGATGTTGATATAAAATTGTCCCAATACAATGTTTTGAAAAGAACTTTTTATCCATTTTATTTATTTAATTGTATTTTTTCATGACCATTTATTCCCCTTTATAAGTCCTCCACCCCACAATCACCATACTATTTGCCCATGTCCACAACTCCTTTTTCCTTTTTGCTCAATTCTTCCACCCCCAACTTCCCATAGTTGTCATCCTGCTCTCTATAAGTCTGTCTCTCATTTGCTTGTTAGTTTAGTTTGTTCATTAGATTCTACATACAATGTTCATAATGTGGTATTTGTCTTTCCTGACTGGCTTATGTCACTTAGCATAATGTTTACCAGGTCCATGTATGTTATTGCAATGGGTAAAACTTTCTTCTTTTTTACAGACAACTAATATTCCATTGGGTATATGTACCACAGTTGTTTTATCCACTCATCTACTGATGGACACAAGCTACTTCCAAATCTTGGCTATTATAAATAATGCAGCAATGAACATATGGGTGCTTATTGCCTCTCAAATTGGTGTTTTGGGTTTCTTTGGATATATTCCCAGAAGTGGGATCACTGGGTCAAAAGGCAGATCTACTTTTAATTTTTTGAGGTGTCTCTATATTGCTTTCCACAGTGTCTGCACCAATCTGTATTTCCACAAATAATGTAAAAGTGTTCCCTTTTCTCCATATCCTCAATAGCACTTGTTGTTTATCAATTTATTGCTGATAGCCATTTTGACCAGTGTGAGGGGGTATCTCATTGTGGTTTTAATTTGCATTTCTCTGATGATTAGTGACATTGAGCATCTTTTCATATATCTATTGCCATCTGTATGTTCTCTTTGGATCAGTGTCTATTCAAGTCCTTTGTGCAATTTTTAATTGGATTGTTTAGTTTTTGATTTCATGTTTTATAAGCTCTTTTTAAATTTTGGATATATATCCCTCATCAAATGTATTGGTGAATATGTTTCCCATTCCATGGGATGTCTTTTTCACTTTTTATGGTCTCCTTTTTTGTTCAAATTTTTTTTGATGCAGTCTCATTTGTTTATTTTTTTCTTTTGTTTCCCTTGCCTGAGGAGATACATTAGAAAAAAATATTGCTACCAGCGATGTCTGAGATTCTACTGCCTATGATTTCTTCTAGGATTTTTATGGTTTCAGTTCTAACATTTAGGCTTTTAATCTATTTTTCTTTTATTCCTCTGTTAGATATAACAAAGTTGTCTAGTTTCATATTTCTGCATGTATCTGTCCAATTTCCTCAACACCATTTATTGAATAAATTATCTTTAGCCCATTGTATGTGTTTGCTTTCTTTGTTGAATATTAATTGATGAAAAATGTGAGTTTATTTCTGGGCTCTCTATTTTGTTGCATTGATCTATGTGCCTGTTTTTATGCCAGTACCATGCTGTTTTGATTACTATGGCCTTATAGTATAGTTTGATATTAGGTACCATGATTCCTCCAACTTTGCTCTTCTTTCTGAGGATTGTTGCTGCTATTGTGTGGGCTTTTGTGGTTCCATGTAAATTTTTCAAATATTTTTCTAATTCTGTGAAATATGTCATTGGTATCTTGATAGGAATTGTGTTGAAGCTCTATATTACATTGGGTAGCATGGACATTTTCAAGTTGTTAATTCCTCATATTGTGAACATGGTATGTGCTTCCACTTATTTGTATTTTCTTCAGTTTCTTTTTTTGGTGTCTTATAATTTTCCCAATACAAGTCTTTAACATTCTTGGTTAGATTTATTCATAGATATTTTATTCTTTTTGAAATGATTGTAAATGGGGCTGTTTTCTTAATGTCCCTTTTTGATAGTTCATTATTGGCATATAAACTACTGATTTCTAGATATTCATTTTGTATTCTCCTACTTTGCTGAATTCATTCATCAGTTCTACTAGTTTCCTGTTGGAATCTTTGGGGTTCTTTATGTAAAGTATCATGTCATCTGCAGATAAAGAAAGTTTAACTTCCTTTCCAGTATGGATGCTTTTTATTTCTTCTTCTTGGCTGATTGCTATGGCCAAGACTTCTAGTACTATGTTGAATAAGAAAGATGAATCAGATATCCCTGTCTTGTTCCTGATCTTAAGGGGAA